ACCCCCAGCCCCACTACCAGTGATGCTGTCAGTGCCTGCAGCCCTCACCACAATTTGTGTCACTCACTGGGTGATTCCTGATGTGGCACTTGGGGATGGAGCTGAGGGTGTCCTTGGCAGTGCTGGGGCAGCAGTTGGACCCACCAGTCTCCAAGGGCATTCCCAACCTCAGGAATTCCATGGGACTCTCCATGACTGTCCCAGCTGCACAGGCAGGCACAGGAAGCTGTTACACACAGATTATATTGCTGTGAGCCAGAGCACTCCAGGTCATCCTTGAGAGAGTGCAGAGAGCAGGAAAAAAACACAGTACTGATCCTGCTCCATGCTTTCCCAGTGGGGCATGAACACCATTTCATCCTTACCCTGAGAGCTCCAAGGAAAAGAACTACTGAGCTGGCACAGAAGATGCCACTTTCCTGACACTCTTGCCCTAGAACCACAGCTCAGCAGGTTTCTGTGGGAATCTGAATTATCTTAGTAGTTCAGAAGCTGCATGTCCCTAAAGAAAGCCCTTGGGAACAAGAAGCTTCTCACTGGCATCTCTTACTTCAGTGTACACTTGCAGTGCATTGAGACTGTTTAAATCAGAATGAAGTGACTTGGCGACAGCACAGCACTAGGTCAGGGACACTGGGAAACTCACCAAACAACATTGACTATGGACTCTCCATTCCAATAGGAGAATGGAACTCCAGCTGTAGCATCCTCATTTCTCACAGTTCTGTTTCAAGGACTCCCCTCAGGAAAAGGATGTCACTAGTCCCACTAGCAAATACCCAAGGCAATTTTTACTCCCTACAAAGAGTAGGAATGACCAAGAACAGTTGCTGTCATAGGAAAAGCAGGGGATTGTGATGATCAAACACTTTCTCCTGTGAAGGCTTCAGTTCCTAACACCACCCTTGAGCAGCTCTGCCTCACCCACCTGCTCCAAAACAGCTCCGTGGGGCTTAGCTCCAGCTCTTTGGACTTTGTCCATCCCCACTGCTCTGAGAGGCAGCACCAACAGCACAGCAGGGGAACACCTGAACAGCTACAACCAGGGACACACCAAGGCTAGCAGGTCCTGCAGCACAGCTTCTTGTGATTCAGGACCTCTGATTTTTGGTACAGATTCACTGGAATTTATTTATATATTCATTTTCAAATATGTCCTCTCTATCTACTTTATTATATGCAGGAATATAAGAATCTCTGAAGAGACATCTGAAGGTTTTGAAAGTAATGCCATAACATTTTTATTTAGCCTCACACTTGAGGCTGCTCTGAGCCCTCCTCATCCTTACAGCTCACACCTGTTGGCTGCTCTGAGCCCTCATCCTTACAGCTCACACCTGTGGCTGGTCTGAGCCCTCATCATCTTAACAGCTCACACCTGTTGGCTGCTCTGAGCCCTCCTCATCCTTACAGCTCACACCTGTGGCTGCTCTGAGCCCTCATCATCTTAACAGCTCACACCTGTTGGCTGCTCTGAGCCCTCCTCATCCTTACAGCTCACACCTGTGGCTGCTCTGAGCCCTCCTCATCCTTACAGCTCACACCTGTGGCTGCTCTGAGCCCTCATCATCCTAATAACTCACACCTGGGGCTGCTCTGAGCCCTCCTCATCATCCTAACAGCTCACACCTGCCGCTGTTGCCACCCTCCAACAGCGTCTCTCCATCTCCAGCACACAGCCCACTTCTCACAGATACAGATCCAACAGAAATCTGCTACAGCTGTCGGCTTTTCTTAATCCACCTGGTTACACAATTAAAACACATACATGCACTGATGGTGATTGAAAGAAAGCTTTCCCCTGGAGAAAACAGTCCTTTTGCTGGCACACTTTGCTACACCTTTGGAAAAAGCAGAATCTGCACCGACTCCTAAGACCCCTGCCGAGGAACCCAGCCCTGCTTGGGACACCCAAAGCAGCAGACCTCGAAAAAGGAGGGGAAAAGTCAAGCTTGGAGTGGAAAAAGAGGACAGAAGTACAGCAGCCTTTAAAAATGCCTGCACGGAGCAATAGTGGGAAACAGACACATTTATTCTTTCCTTGCTTTCTGTGATGACATAAATAGGAAGCAAGAACACGTTAAACAAAAGGCAGAGCTAGGATTTTACAGGTCTTTATTTTGGCAGGCTGCATGACAAACGCCTCTTCCGGGTCTGCGACACGTTTGGGGGAATGGCAGAGAACGGAGGCAAAAGGTGCCGGGAGCCCTTTCTGTTCCCTTCAGCCCCTGCAGCTGCTCCGCTGGTTTCAGGGCACTTGCTTGGTTCGTTCCTAGAGAAAAAGGCTAGGGCATGATTTTCAAAACTACTGCCCATCCACAGTCAGAGTTTCCTACATTCCTGGGTACAAATGAGTGGATCGAGAGAGGGCTTCTTTCCAAAAGAGGTTAGCCATAGCTTCCTATTCTTTACCAATAGCTGTGAAAACGAAACACTTGCCAGGTTTTAGTATTCTACACACACCCCTCCCAGGGAATTTTGGGGCAGCTTTGGGTCCCTCTGCGGGACGGCACCCAGCGTGACCCGCCCCCCTCATTCGCCACCCACCCGCTCCTCCACCGCAGTGTGCGTAACTCTCCTAGCGACCTTGGGGTGCCCCAAATGCCATCAGAGGCCCGAGGCTTCAGCCCCTAACCCTGACCCCCGAAGAAGGCACAGGACGAGTCCAACTGCCCCGGACAGCAGCCCAGCACTCCCTTCCAGCCCTTCCCACACCTCCATCCCCCAGAAAGGGACTCCGCCGCAACAAGGAAAGGTGGGGGCAGCCCCCAGAAGGCTCGAAGCTCCCGCCCCGCCTCGCTGTCGCGGGCCAGGGGCAGAAAGAGGGAGCGGCAGAGGTTTGTTTGTGTGGAGGTGTGAACACTCCAGATGCCCCTGGGGACACTGCTGGGCAGCTCTGTTCTAGCAGGACTGCACGCCTGTGCTCCCAGAGCTTCAGTTCAGAGCTCATCTCAAAACAAAGGTAGCTGAAGAGATTTTTGTTTCATACTCATCACTGTTTTTCTCTTCTGTTTTTTGTTTCGCTTTAAACAGTTTGAAAACCACAAGGATGTAAGCCAAGAGCCTCCTGTGGCACTGGATTCTGTATTTACCACTTTGCTGAAGGGAGCCTGGGAGAGAGGAAGCAGTACCTTCCTGGAAGATGGTGTTCAGACAAAGTGGAGAGACTTGGCTTCCCGGCTCCCCCCACCTGAGCAGCTTTTGTTGGGAGTAAAGCACGTGCTGCTGTACCCGAAATCCACAGTAGAGAACTTCAGCAGATAATACTGTAGTTATCCTTGGTTTACTTTATGGCACAAGTTACAGATGACTAGGCTGCTAAAACTTAGGTTCCAGTGCTGTAGCTCTTTTCCCCCGACTAGGCTCCGAGGGTACGCAGCACCATACAAAACTGCACCTAATTTGTAAAAAAATGTAATTTGTTCTGATTATTGAAGCTGAGCTTTATTCCGTGGAATCCCAGCTGTGTGCTGCCCCAGGGCCTTTGTACAAATAGCGTCACCGGAGCTGCACATTCCTTGTGATATGTATGGGATTTTGGGGGGGTTCAATAAAAAGGAGATGCAAAATGAGGGAATTGCTTTTAGATGTAACTATTCTTGTCCTAAAGGGGCCATCAGCTCTGTCCCCAGAGCTGAGTTACGAGTGTGTGTGTTGAAAGAGCCGCAAGCCTTTAGGGGCTGCAGTTTGTGTGCCCTGTGCTGAGGTGCCCTGAGGAAATGTGTGAGCCGGAGGGAGCCGGGGCCGGGCGGAGGGAGCTGAGTCCAGCCGAACGGAGCCGAGCTCTGCCGAGCGCAGCAGCCCGGGCCGGGCGGGGCGGGGCGCCGGGGGGGAGCCGGGGCGCTGGGAGGGATCCCCCTCCTGTCCCTCTCTCTACCGCTCCATGCTCCTGCCCGTATTCCCCTCGGTTATCTCTCTTTCCCCCGTTTCCATGTCCCCTCCAAACCCGGCTCCTTCCTGTCCTGTCCCTGCCCCGCTGCTCCGTTCCATTCCCCCCCTCTGCCTCCTCTGTCCACCGTCCCTCTTCCCTCCCCTGCCGGCCTTTGAATCCGAATTATAAATCAGAATGTGAATATAAATATGAAAAATATAAAAATAAAATACATTGAAATGCAGTTTAAAAGAAAAGGTTTTTTCTTTTGGTTCTTGTTGGGTTAGAGGCAGGGGTTTTTTCGTTGGCGTTCTTTTCCGCGCGAGATGTTTCGGGGCATTTGCTACCGAGGACGTTCCGCAGGGGACGGCGTCCGTTCTTTTTTGCCGCCGGCCCCGCCCGCGGCCCCGAGGCGAGCGGCGGCCCCCGACGGTTGCGTGCGGCAATGCTGCCACCTTGTGGACACAGGGCGGTACTGCAGGCCCCCAGCCAGTCCCCGGCAAAATCATCGCGACGGGGCGGGAGGGGCCAGAGCGGCCCCAAAACCACCGAGACGGGGCGGGAAGGGCGAGGGGCGGCAGCGAGCGGCGAGCGGGGCGGTGTCTGTGAGTGAGGGGAGGGCTGAAGGCGGCTCCGCGGCGGCGCCGGAGAAGGATGGCGGCGGCGAGGGCGGTTTTCTGTCCTGCGCCGGCCGCCGTCCGTGCCACCGCGCTTTAAAGCTTTCCGCCCTGCGCCGGCCGCTGTCCGTACAACAACGGTTAATCTCTATGGTTTCTGCGGACTTCCTGTTCGTCTCTATGGTTTTATGGAATTTCCGGTTAATCTCTATGGTTTCTGGAAAACTTCCGGTTCGTCTCTATGATATTATGGAACTTCCGGCTCATCTCTATGATTTCTGGAGGACTTCCTGTTCGTCTCTATGGTATCATGGAACGTCCGGCTCATCTCTATGGTCTTTGGAGGACTTCCGGTTCGTCTCTATGGTATCATGGAACGTCCGGCTCATCTCTATGGTCTTTGGAGGACTTCCGGTTCGTCTCTATGGTATTTTGGAACTACCGGCTCGTCTCTATGCTCCTGGAGGACCTCCCATTCATCTCTATGGACCGTCTCTGTGGTCGCTCCTGCGCGTGCGCGGCTGCCATGAGGGAGCGGACGCGGGAAATGTGCCAGGCGGGAGCCCAGAAAAATGGGGAAAAAAAGGTAAAAATCTGGAAAAAAGCGCCAAAAAGCGGGACGAGGAGCCCTGAATCGGGATGGGGGAACGCGGGAATGGGGAGAAAGTGACCTAAAATGGGAAAAGAGCCCAAAAATTGGGGAAGAAAGGGCGAAAATGGGATCGGGGAGCTCGGAAATTGTGGGGGGAGTGACCAAAGTCGGCGAAAGAGCCGAAAAGTGGGAAAAAGATCTGGAAATGTGGGAAAGTCGCACAGAGA